GGGGGGGGGGGGTGTCTCCCTTCACTGCCCATCTTTAACCCAAGCATTACTTTGCTGAATATTTGCTATGGAGGTGAGAAAATGAGTTGAGCAGGATGCTCTTAGGCTATGAGGGAGACAGGCAACCCTCCAAATAAAATAATGAACAAAAAAATCTGGATGGTGGATATCAAGCAATACAGCAACATCTTAACTCTCTGGCAGCCTTGCCTATCTGGCACACAGAAGGAAGGAAAAAGGCCAATGAGCAGCCTGAGACGTCGAAGTTGCTGCACTAACACTCACACATCCCACTTTGAGCCTGCCGACTGCAACTTTCCCAGCCCACGGCATATTGGAAGATTAGAAAGGAACTGCTAGAGGGAAAATCCACTCTCCACTGAGAGCAAGGACAGAAATAGAATAACTTGGAAACATAGATATTTAGTGCAGAGGTAAAAGCCACACTCCTGAGTTATCACAGTTCATAGTAATGGTGGTGTGATAATGACAAAGTAAAACAAAGGTCTCTTGTACACTATGTTAAAAATCAGGAATAGGTATAATCCAATGTAGATAGATTCCCATCTAAATTGGTTATGTCCTGGCTCTTAAAAGGGATTGCTTGATTTCTAAGTCCCTCAACTGTGATAGATAAAGGAAGACTTTCTGCATTTGCTGATAGGAAGTCAGGGAAGTGGGAGGGAGGATGCCTGCTGGGACAGCTTATCCCTCCTCTGGGATACTTGGCCTGTGTCTCTCCCCTGTGCCAGCCCCCCATCCCTGGCTTGGGGCTCTGCGGAGTTCAGCCCAGCCCCCCCCTTCCAGTGACCTGGTCTCCTCTCTCCCTCGCCTGCCCGCCTTGCCCAGCCTGGGCTCTTGGTGGGGGTTCCCGGAATGGTGAAGGGGCTACATGAAGCTCACCAGCTCTATGGCAGGTAAAGACCCTCCCCCTGGGGACCAGGGGCCCCTGCCTGCACCAGTCCTTTGGCTGTCTCCTACCTTCCTGGATTCTTCCCTTCCGAACTCCCTCTCCTAATATCCCTTCCCTTGCCAGGATTCTCCTTCCCAGGAACCTCCCTCCCCCCTCCCAGGGTCCCTCCTCCTTCCCCCGAACCTCCTCCATCCCCTGCTCTCCGTCCCCCCCCACCCTCAGGCTGCCATGGTACCAAGTCCTGGCCTTCGCAGCAGCTGTGGCCCAAGATGGCTTCAACGTGACCCACGATCTAGGTCAGTGGGGCCTGGGGGTGCGGGGAAAGGCATGAGGTTGATGGAGAGGGGAGATGGAACCTCTGAGATTTGGGGCCCAAACCAGAAAGCATCTCTCTTCCAGTTTGCTTCTCAGACTTCCCCCATCCTGATCAGGAGGCAGACAAGTGAGAAGATATGGAGGGGCCCATATATACCCCACCTCCTCCATTACAGGCTCCTTGGGGGCCAGAGCTTAGGGCCAGCCACTCATCCCTCACCCACTTCACCTGTTATGCGTCTCAGCCATCAGGTCCAGCCCTGGCATTCCCTGCCCAGCCTCTTGTCCCTGCCCGCAGCACGCGCCCTGGCAGAACAGCCACCCCCCGATGCGTCCGAGCGCTTCCATGAGACGTTCCTGCCATCGGGCCGCCCGCCCCTACCTGGCTCACTGATGCATCGGCCTGACCTGGCCACGGTACTGGATGTGCTCGGCACCTACGGCCCCGCTGCCTTCTATGCTGGTGGTAACCTCACCCTGGAGATGGTGGCTGAGGTGAACATGTGGAGAGCCCCTCTGTCCCAAAGGACCCTACTGCAGGGACATCCTTTTCCCTCTTCCTTCCTTACCTGCCTTTCTCTCTACATATATTTACTAGGATTCTATTTTCTTAAAATTCTAGAATAGGCAAAACTAACCTCTGATGATAGGAATCAGATCAATGGTAGTTGGAGTAGGAGGGCTTGACTGGGATGCAGCAGGAAGAACCTTCTGGGGTGATGGAAATGTTCTGTCCTGATTGAGAGAGGTAACTTTGGGCTCCCCAGGGCTGGTGCCAACCTGTGCAGGGGTCTGGCCTGTCCCTCCCAGGCTTGGTGGAGACCCATGATCGGCCTCTGCTTCCCTAAGCCCACAACCTCACCCTGCCCTTGGGTTTTCTAGGGACAGAGGGAAGTGCCTCCTGCACTGGGACTGGGGGTATTAATATGAGGGCTTACCAACCAACCCCAAAGAGTCTTAGTATGAGGTAGTAATGGGTTCTAACTGTTGTCAATAGTTGGAAATTCCTAATGGAAAATTATGTTCAAGATAAGGATACTCAGACCAACTCAGTGGCACTCTCATCTGTGCAACAGGGTGATTACATCTATCTCTGCCATACAGTTGTGGGAATTGAATAGGTCTGTCATTCATTCTACATTTACAAAGTGCCCACTCTGTGCCAGGCCCTATGCTGGGCACTGGAGGCATGGGTGTGGTAAAAGAAGCCCACCTCAGATGGACTTAACTGGAAAGTCCAGCAGAGTACTGGCTTTAGGTCAGCTGGATCCGGGGGCTCCATCCATGTTGTCAGGACTTGGTCTGTCTCTCTTTCTGTCTCATGACTGCTTTCCTCTGTTTGAATTCACTCTCTATTGCATCCTTTCCACACCTGCTCCCATCAGCCATCCTTCCAGCAAGCCATCCTAGATAAAGGGCATTTCTCATTTCAGTAGTTCCAGCAGAAGCCTCAAGGTTGTATCTCATTGGCCTGTCATCGGGCTCATGACTATTCCCAAACCAATCACGGAGCCATGAAAAGAAATGCTCTGATTAGCCAGACTTGGGTCTTGTATCCTTTCCTAGAGGTGGAGAAGGAGATGAAGGAGACTCTAACAAAGACCATCAGAGCTTGAAAAGAAAAAACCCAAAGTTGAGTTTATTAACTTATCAGACAAAGGAACACACACCAGCCAAGAAATTCAATGTATTGTTCACTGATGGTGGAGAGGAAGTCAGAGGTTTCAAGTACCAAAAAAGGAGAGCATTCCTAATGTTATGCTAACTTAGGGTTGAAAATTAGCGTGCTGATAGTATAAAATGAATCTACTGGTTTGTACTAGACTGGTTCTTGGTCAGTAGAGTCCTCAATTACATCATTCCTACCAGGGTCATCCATGGTTTTGTAGTGACTTTAGTTAGCTGCAGCGAAATGCAGAATTCGGTTTTGATATCTCTCAGGCAAGTGCTACTATAAGTGAAAAATCTTTGCTTTTTCATAGGCAGAGAGGGCAGTATGTGCAAAGACATGGAATCATGACTTTCAGGACCTGTAGGTCACTCTGAGTGGCTGTACAGAGCTCACTGGGGAATAGCAGGACATGAGGCGGAGATGTAGGCAGGGGCCAGATCACAAGGGGCCTTAAATACCTAACTAAGAAGGTCATTCATAGAATGTAACCAACACAATGCCTTGTACATAGTAGGTGCTCATTGTTAGTGCTTTTCCCCCTTCCTTTTTCCTGGGGTACCCAGGGCTGATGGGATCCCTAAAGGCCATGATGGAAATTGCAGAAGGCACAGAAGTTATAAACATCTGATCTGTCTGTGACCCAAACATATACCATAGGCCAAATCCACATGCTCACTGAGTGGTGTGTGGCTCACAGTGGTGGTGGGGCCATTCTCTCCCTTCCAGGCTCAGCACGCAGGGGGTGTTATAACTGAGGAGGACTTCAGCAACTACAGTGCCCTTGTGGAGAAACCTGTGTGTGGCGTGTACAGAGGTGACTTCTCCCCCAGCTCCCACGGTCCCCACTCAGGAGAAACCTCCCAGTCCATGGCTGTAAGCTTTTGGCCTAGAGACTCCTTCCCATTTCATAGGAGAGAAACTGAGTCAGTGAGCTGCTTGAACAGCTAACTAACGAAGAAAGGCAGAGTCAGCCTACCTTCTGAAGTAGTCATGGAGTCATTTACCCCAAGTATTTAGGAAATGGGGAGGGAGACCTGGTCAAAGGTTCAGACCTAGAAGTTGGGATTCTGGCCATAGGTTTTCTTGATTTGGGCTCTATGTTGCCTTGCCCATTCCCAGTCCCACTCTCAATGCCCACTCTCAATGCCAAGACAAGCATAGACCTGCCCTCTAATTGTGCCAAAAGGAGACTGAGTGCCCAGGGAAGGAATAGAACTTAACCTGTCAAATTCAAAACCAATGATGAACTCATAAAGGCAAGTTTATGACATGGGTGAAATCCATGTTGGTTGAACCCAAAGTGGTAGGTTCCTAGGTCCCTAAGGAGGTTCACAGGTTCTCCAGGAGGCTCAGATCACCTCAAGCCCCAGAAGAGGCTGCCTCTAAGTTCAGGTTTCCAGGCCTCTATCTCCAGCCTGATTCCTCTACCAGAGGCAGTGGCATATGGAACAGAGGAAGAACATAGCTAGGGAGCCAGAAGGACCTAGGTTTGAGTACCAGCTATGCCATTCACCTTGAACAAGTCACTTCCCACTCTGAGCCTTGATTCCCTCCTTAAAATGGAGATAATAGTGCCTACCAATCAGGGTGACCATCAGGATTTGATGAGATGATGTTGGAAGCTGCCCTGATCAGAATGGGCACTGAATATATATTTGATTTTCCATTTCTCCTCCCCAGCCTGTGCTCTCTTGGCAATGCCTTTACCTTGAGTACTCTGGGTTCCACTTGTATCCTATAATCTTGGACCAGCTGCCTCTCTGTGCCTCAGTTTTCTCACCTATAAAATGGGAATAACAGTACCCATTGTGAGGATTAAATGAGTTAATTAGTTATGGTTTGTGTTATATCAGGTATTATTATTCCTTTGATATCCAAATATCTAATAACTGGGGCCTTACATAGGAAGAGGAGGTTGCTGCTCCCAAGAAGTTTCAGGGGTGGGACCATCAGGGGCCCTGAATAGTATCCTGCCCTATGAGAAGAGCTGAAAGAAGACACATGGTGGACCAGGAATCTGAACATCTGGATACCTGTCCCTACTGTGCCAATGGCCTTCATTGTAACTCTGGGCAAATTATAGTCCTCTTCAGCCTTAGTTTCCTCATATGGAAGAGGAAACTGATGACCAGTGTTGGATTCCTGGCCCTGTCCTTGACTTGACTGGCCATGTGAACTTGGGTGTGTCCCTTTGCCTGTCACCTCTTCTCCCCTATCTGATGAGGGAGTTCAGTGCAGTGGTCTCAGTCTATGTGATGGTGGGGTGTGGAGATGTCTTGACCCTTCCCCTGCCATCTAGTCATTTCCTGTCTTTTCAGGCCACCTGGTTCTCAGTCCCCCACCCCCACACACAGGCCCTGCCCTCATCAGTGCTCTCAACATCCTCGAGGGCTTCAATCTCACCAGCCTGGTATCCCGGGAACAGGCTCTTCACTGGGTAGCAGAGGTAAGGCCAGCCCCTCCATCCCACCCTGTGTTGGGGGACACTGAGAGTGGGGGGATGGGGTACAGCCATGGGGCAGGACTAAATCCCCTCCAAGTTTTCTCACACACAAGAATTCTGGGTGTGGCTACTGGGAGGAGCCTGGCAGCCTCTGCCACACCTCTGCTCTGTTTTCAGACCCTGAAGATTGCATTAGCCCTAGCCAGCAGACTGGGAGACCCCATCTATGATTCTACCATCAGTGAGAGCACGGATGACATGCTAAGGTGGGTCCTGTGGCCGGCCCCTGGGGACTGGAGAGGTGGTGGTGGGTGTGGGGAAAGGATCAGGTGTAAAGCAGCTGGTAGAGCAATAGGCCTGAAGTTCCAAGTCAGTTCCAGCTCTACCCCAACTCACAGTGTGACACTGGTTGCCTCTCCTTGCACCTCCGTGTTCCCATCTGTACAATGAGTTGCTCTACTTTATATGGCTCTCAAAATTTTTTGACCCTAGTAGGGCACATATATGGGCCCATCTGTTCCCCTTTTTGAGTAGAAAAAGAAAGCCTAATAACAATGAAAAGAGTCTCCAAGAAAATACTGGAGGTGGTGGGGATTTTGATTAAAATGTATCTACATTAGCAGCCTAACGTAGCAGTAAAACTGTGAGCTCTTGTCATACTGACTCAGTTCAAATCCCAGATTCTCCATCTACTAGCTGTGCAGCCTTAAACTCTAAATCCGTTTCTACAAGGGGCCCTGACAATAATGGTTCATGAGGTTGTTGTAAGGACCAAGCACGATCATACATGCAAAGCATTTAGCATGTTGTCTGACACATAATAAATATTCAACAAATATCATCATTACTATTAATTGGCAATAGGGGTAAGAATGGTTACTATTTAACTGCTACTATAACTGACTTAAAGGCTAGCTAAGGGAAAATTAGAAACCAAAAAGAGTTAATGTAAATCTGCATTTTCATAATTTCATAAATTTGTTTTTAAGATCAATATAAATTTAGCTCTAAAACATACAAGACACACCTATATTAAATCCATTTAACTAATTCATCCAATAAATATTTATTAAGGGCTTACTATGTGCCAAGTCTTTCTGTGTCTTCAAAAAGAAATTCTGAAAGTAAAGAATCCTGTATACAAACCTCCCCCCTCCCCAATTAAACTGTTAATGAAACTTAATTTTGAGACTACAGTTAAGTTAAGTGAATTCAGTTTGCTTATGTCAAAACAAATATTTTCTGCCTGGCTGGTGTGGCTCAGTGGTTGAGCGTTGACCCCTGAACCAGGAAGTCAGGGTTCGATTCCTGGTCAGGGCACATTCCCAGATTTCAGACTTGATCCCCAGTAGGGGGCATGCAGGAGGCAGCCGACCAATGACTCTCTCATCATTGATGTTTTTCTCTCTCTCTCTCCCTTCCTCTCTCTGAAATTAATAGAAACATATTTTAAAAATATATATTTTCTAAGCATTCACTATGCCCCAATCAGAGAAAGGATTAAGTGAGTAAAGTCAAGTAACTAAAAAACTCTTGACTAAAGCACTGAATAAATTAAACGTTGGCTCTAGCAGAGAATCTGAATAACACCTAAATAAATTAATTCAGTCAATAGCTATTTCCTGAATATTCCCTATATGCTAGGAATAAGTAATATGCTCTCATGGACCTAACAGTCCATTGGGGGAGGCAGATATTAATCAAATAATCACATGAACAGACATCACAAAGAGTGGTAGGTGGAATATAATGAGAATTTGCTGTGTGTTCATCTCCTACCCCATGTCTTTTCAGCAAGGTAGAGGCTGCCTACCTCCGGGGCCACATCAATGACTCCCAGGCGGCCCCTGCCCCACTCCTGCCTGTTTACGAGCTGGATGGGGCTCCCACGGCTGCCCAGGTGCTGATCATGGGCCCTGACGACTTCATTGTGGCCATGGTCAGGTATGCCAGCTCAGACTCGGAAACTGGCACAAGATATCATCTAGACCAGGAAGGAGGTGGGGGCTGGGCAGGAGTGAGAGTGGGCTCAGGGTTCACCTGGCCCCAATCTCGGCCCCCAGCTCCCTGAACCGGCCCTTTGGTAGTGGCCTCATCACCCCCTCGGGGATCCTGCTCAACAGCCAGATGCTGGACTTCTCCTGGCCAAACAGGACTGCTAACCACTCTGCGCCCAGCCTGGTAGGATCTTGCTTCCCTCCTACCCTGGGAACCCCAAGGCTAGGGAGGACTTGTTACAGTATGGCTGCCCCTCCCTCCCTACTTCCTCTAGGAGCTTCTATTATAAAGAAAAGGAGCCCAGACAAGGTGTTCACAAGTTTGGGGCTTGGAGCCTGTTGGGTCCAAAGAAACCTTGTCCCATTCTGTCACCCTCTGACTGTGTGACTTGGAGAAAGTTTTATCCCCTCTCTGGGGATAAAACTTGTACAAGTTTCTTTACTTGTACAATCAGGCTATTGGCCCCTGATTTTATGCTTTAGGAACTTTTTAGTACTAATGGTCTATGAGCGTGTAATGCTGAGCTGATGGCTCTCAGTCCTATCGTTGGGCACCAGAGGAGGAAGGAGATGGGAATTATTGCGTAGCTGGAGCACTCTTACACCCTGCAGGCTGGAGCCATGGCAGGACAAAGACAAAGATGACCGGGGTGGAGATTATTCTGTTCTTCCCCATAGCCATCTTTCTTGGCTCAGCCCCTCCCCTGCCACCCATGGTAGCTCCAAAACTTCGTGGGCTCACTATCCACCCCAGTTATCCAGGGACCCTGCCCATTTCACATATAGCAAACTGTGGTCTGGGGAGAAACCAGTCGCCAATGAAAGCTGGGCCTGTGGAAGATGTAAGAGAGGGAGAGCACTGGGAAGAGTAGTGTACTCCTTTTCCTGAGTCGGCCTACCTCTCATCCCCCTTGTGGCCTCGGTCCTCTGACAACAGGAGAATTCGGTACAGCCAGGGAAGCGGCCACTGTCTTTCCTGCTCCCCACTGTGGTCCGGCCGGCAGAGGGGCTCTGTGGGACCTACCTCGCCCTCGGGGCCAATGGAGCCGCCCGGGGCCTCAGCGGCCTAACCCAGGTGAGGTTTCCTCTGTGACGGCCTTGCGTCACCAGGGCCAGGCTGTGGCCTGGGCTGCAGGTCCCCTTCGTGTCTCCTGCTTGTTCTCATCCTTTCCTCACAGCAAACGTGGGCTGCGACGGCTTCCCTCCTGGACACTAGGGAGAAGGGCTATGCTGAGTTTCTTAGTGAAAATGAAGACCTGAAGCTCCCTGTCTTCCCTGGTTGCAGGAGAAATTGCAGGGCCAGTAGAAATGAGAGGTGATAGGGCATCTGGGCTGCATGAGTTCTGTCAGTTTCAAGTCCCACCATGCTCTACTCAGCATCTGAAGAGAGAAGCATCCTATTTAGGATCTGATTTTGAAAGGAAGGGTCTGCTACTCTCCAAAATGCCTCGCAACAATTCCACTAGTCTTGAGCACCTCATATATGTGCCAGGCACATAATTTGGCAGATAGCAAGTTAACTAGCCTGAGCTTTGGAATCAGACGCCTGAATCCCAGACCAGGTGCTGCCCATTTCCAACTGTGTGATGTTGGCGAATTCACTTAACTTCTCTGAACCTGTCTCCTCATCTGTAAAATGTAGATAACAATAGCTAACATATACAGAGTTCTTGCTAAGTGCTGGGCATGGTGTTATGTGTGTTAAATCTTTTAACCTTCCCAACTTTGGAAGGAATCCTCATTTCTGTTTCATATATGAGGAAACAGAGGCCCAACAAGTTTAAGAAGTTAGGTACAGGTTAGTAAGAATGGGCAGGCAGTTGGTTCCAGAGCCAACCCACACTCCAAACCAATGAACTAAAAGCATCCACATTGTAACATAGACTATCCCCAGCCATTAACCCTGTCCTGGACAGGGAGAAGGGAGGTCAGCCCTGGGCTAGATTAAAGGATACTGGGTGCTAGCAGTGCCTCTTCCCTGGCTCTCTCTAAACTCTGGAGTGACTCACTTTTCTACTCTGGCCTTCATTTTCCCCTCTGTGAAATGGGGAAAATCATCAAAGACCTGCCTGTCTTCTGGGGCTGTTGAGCAGTTCAGATGACACCCCTTATACAAAGAATCTAAAGACTAAGGAGTCTGGACCAGGGGTAAGGACTGTAGAGTCCTGAACCCCCCATCTCTGGGATAGCCCTGACTTCTGCCCTTTGGCTGCCTACAGGTTCTGCTGAATGTCCTGACCTTGAACCGGAACCTGAGTGACAGCCTGGCTCGTGGCCGCCTGCACCCAGACCTTCAGTCCAATCTTCTGCAGGTGGACAGTGAGTGTCCCCATGGAGTAAGCACAAAGTCTGGTGGAGAAAAAGGCTCCTCCCAAGGGTTCCCCTGCCTCAACCAGCACCAGCTCCCTGCCATTGAAAGCTTGGTTTCTCCCACCTAACTCCTAACAGTACAAGATCTTGGGGATTAGAACATCCTGCCATTTCCTGGCTGTGTGGCCTTGGGAAATTTATATTTCTACTCTGAGCCTCAGTGTTCTCATTTGTAAAGTAAGACTCAGTTGTTCATTCTGCAAACATTCATTCAGCAGTTTGTATTGAGTATCTACTGTGTGCCAGGCATTATCCTAGATGCTGGGGATACTGCATTTACAGGCAGACAGGAAAATGAATACTAAAAAAATATGAGAAAGCAAAATAAATGCTCTGCAGAGCATTAAATCAGGATAATGTATGTATAGGGCTGACTGGATGATCGAGGGAGACTTCTCTTTGGTTACATTTAAGTTGTGACCTGAAGATTGAGAAAGAGCCCACCATGCAAAGAACTGGGGTTTTGTATGCCAAGGGAACAAATGCAAAGAACTCAGGACAAGAATGGGCTTGGTGTGTTTTAGGAGCAGAAAGGAAACAAGGGTGAGTGAGAATGAAATGAGAACAGGAAGGCAGGCAGGGGCCAGGTCATGGACCTGATAGGTTATGGTGAGGAGACAGGCTTTCCTCTAAGAAGGACAGGTGCTTAATTTTGGACGCAGCTTAGTTTTGTAAATGGGAAAGTATGTGCTTGTTCAAGGAGTTTTTATTACAACAGACAACATATTATACAAGTCCAAAGGGGATATATATTGAGGCATGGTCCTTGCCTGTTCAGTGTCATTATCCCCATTTTATAGAGAAAGAAACTGATGACCACAGAGGTTATAAACCAGTCAAAGATCAACTAGTAAGTGGCAGAATGGAGAGCAGACCACCTGGCTGACACCAAAGACTCAGTTCTTTACCGCATGGCTCTAGATATCTCCTGGACTGAAGCATGTTAGAAGCCACACACCTAGATCCTCAGCAGTCACACCCTGTAGTTGACCGGTGACCCTTTGGATCCCAACTGATGGATGATGAGGCTAAGTCCTTGGAAATGAATCCTGCTCAACCAATATCTTCTGGTCTCTATCGAATGTGAGGCTTTATTCTAAGTTACTTGGGGGTGAGGGGGCTCATCCTAACCCTCCCTTGAGGGGCTTATAGTCTAAGACAGGGGCATGAGGAGTGGAGGCTTGGTGAAGGGAAAAGTTCATCCACCTGAGGACTCTGGGAGGCTTTATGGAAGAGGTAACAATTGGCTGGGCCTTAAATATGAGCAGGAATTGGGCATATGGAGGTAAAGTACATTGTGAGCAGGGGAACAGCCTGGGCAAAAGCCAGAAAGAATGGTTCAGAGAGCAGCCAAAAAGCCAGCTGGACTAGAGACATTGTTTCCCAAATTTCAGAATTTATCCATCATCTTCATGACTTTTGCCACATTTACACATCATCTAAACCATTATTTACATAATGTGTCTATAAATACATTTAACCTACATGTATTTTTAAAGTAAATCTTATATCATAATCCCAAATGGAAAAATGGCATTATTTGCCACAAATACACAATTAAAAGGTATTAAAAATTCAAGCATTTTTAGGTTTTAGTTGGATATTATTACCCAGAGAAGGCTCTGAAGGCTGCTCTCTCTGTTAAGGAAGATTGAAATGTTAGAGACCAGACTGAAATATAGTCCTTGCTATTATCAAATGGATTGAAAATGAACCACAAGATTCAGTGATGTAATGCTATTTAATATCATGTCTTCATCTCAGTAACTACCCAAAATCATCCCATTTGGGGAAGTAAGACAATATTTTTGTTGAGAAGCAGTGGGAAGTGAAATTATATGGCTTGTCATGGAGGTCCATGTTAAGTAGGGGAGGGATAGGACCTGATTTGTTTTATATAGGGGAGGTGGATTGAAGGGGGGAGAATTTAAGTCGGGGAAATACAAGAAGCACTCAGTATAATGGCCCAGCAAGAGATGAAGACCTGAAATTATGCAAGAGGGTGGGGATTTGTTCATTTATCCAGTAAATACTTGCTTAACATTTACTATGTCCTCGCCCTGTTCTAGGCAATGGGGATCCATAGTGAACAAGACAACATCCCTGCCTTTAAGAAGCTTATAATCTAGTGGAAGGAGACAGAGTAAATAAATAAACAAACATAGGTAGCATTAAGTGCTTTGAAAGAAAACAAAACAAGACAAAGATAACAAGGGCTGATATTTTAGATAGTGATCAGAGAATTTTTTGAAGTTTGGAAGGAAGTAAGGGAGGCAGTTTTGTGACTCTAAGAGAAGAGCATCCCGGGCAGAGAGAAAGCAAGTGCAAAGTTCCTGAATTGGGGGCGTGTTTGGCTTCCTTGATGGACAGCAAGGAGGCTAGAGCAGGGTTAAGGGAAAGAGTGGAAGGAAGTGAGGAGAGGATTTTGGAGACGTAGTGAGGTCCCAGATGATGTTGGACCTTAGAGGCTTGGTAAGGACTTTGGATATTATTCTAAGAGTCACCAAAGCTGTTAGAGGGTTTTGAGTGGGGGCAGTGATATGGTCTAATGGTTTAGAAGGACTCTGACTGCTGTGTGAATAGGCTGTAAGGAAGGCAGGACTGAGAGCAGAAAGACCAGCTAGTGGGCTATGCAGTTATCCTAGAAAGCAATGATGGCAACTTGGCCTAGGCAGGTGGAGATAAGACCCCAAAAACCCTTTTCCAATATTAAGAATGACTGTATATTATTGACCACTTACTGTATGCAAGGCTCTGAGCTCAGTGCTTTCTGTGTATTATCTTCTTTAATCCCTGCAACAACTTCATATAGCAGGTTCTCGTATATTCCCCATTTTATGCATGAAGAGACTGAGGCTCAGAGAGGTCAAGCAATTTGCCCAAGGTCATACAGCTCCTCAGTGGAGCATCCAGGACCAGGACTCGGGTATGACCGTAGGATTCCTGAGCTAGTGCTCTGAACACTCTGAATGTGTGCATGTTGGGGGACGGTTTTCAGGTGAGTTCACAGAGGAAGAGATTGAGTTCCTGGAAGCCAGGGGTCACCACGTGGAGAAGGTAGATGTCTTATCCTGGGTCCATGGCAGCCGGAGAACCAACAACTTCATCATCGGTGTGAAAGACCCTCGGAGCCCAGATGCAGCTGGAGCCACCATCCTGTAGAGCAGCAGGGTGGGGCGGGGGTCTCTGCTCCCCCCCCTTTGCATGTTCCTAGAGTCCCTCCTTCTCCCAGGTTTGGTCTCAGGAGGACCCCGGGATACCCCAGATCAGGGGCCAGAGGGGATGCTTAGCAAACCCTTCCCCAGAGTAACTGGAAAATTCTCCATCCAGAGGCCTGTGGTGGTGGTGGTGGTGAGTGTCAGTGTTCATAACCAAGCAGACAGGACCTTGAGAAGCCAGGTTATCTTGTCTGTTTCCTTTCCCTCAGCCATGCTGGCCTTGAGCTTAGGGATATGCTTGCGAACCCTTCTCAAGGGTCCTCACAGCTCCAACATCTCCAGTCTGGCCTTCCCTGGGCCTTGTCTTCCAGTTCCCTTCTCCTGTCCTCAGCCTCATTTCTTAAATGACTAGGATTTTTTTTAATGGACCATCCTGGGGAGGGGGTGTTCCTCTCTTCCTCCCACCAGGTTGAGGCAGGGGCATTGCATCTGGGGCCCAGGGTGTGGAATCCCTGGGGGTGGGGGTGGGGACCAGCTCAGGGGCTTCCATTTGCAAAGGGGAATTAAAGAAAGAATATTGCTTAACCATGGCTCTGGCTTGATTTATGTTTGGCTGTGTTGGGAGTGGAGTGAGAGAGGAGACCTTGGCTTACCTTGTTCCAAAGGCAAACTGGAGTCAATATTGTGGGGGTCATAAAAATATCTGCCATCTATCTAAGACTTGTATTATAAAAATTATAAAGTAATTAACAACTATAATTATAGATGGCATCTATTGAACACTTAATGTGTGCTGGGCTCTATGCTAATTTTGTTTAGTCTTCCTTACAAACCTCATGAGGTAGGTACTAATATTATGCCCATTTTATAGATGGGAAGCTAGTAAAAAGAGGTTAAGGAACTTGTCTAAGGTTCCTCATGTATTAAATGGAAAACTGGGATTCAGTCTCAGGATAGTCAACTCTTAATTTGTGCTCTTAACTATTTGCACATCTACTAGGCGAACTATTTGTTATACCACAAATTACATACAATATATATCAGACAATAAGTACCTTTTATACATTACGGCATTCATGTATGCATGTATCCATGCATTGTATTCCAGGCACTTTGTTAGGCACTGGAGATTCAGCATTGAACAAGAACATTTTTTATGGGTTTGCAGTTTAATGTAATGAATTATACATTAAAACAGGACCCAGTTTGGCTTAAGGAGTTGTTTGCTGNCATGGGGAATTATACATTAAAACAGGACCCAGTTTGGCTTAAGGAGTTGTTTGCTGACCCCTATGCTAGAGCATAATGACAGAGGATGACTGTATGAGATGAAACTGATGAGATAGGTATATTACCCTTATGAGGCAGGTATTAATCTCCCCATTTTATGGATGAGGAAATTGTGGCTCAAAGACATGAAGTAACTTGCCCAAGGTCACGCAGCTGATAGTTGGCAGATCTATGATTCAAAAGCAATCTTTTTGACTCCAAAGATCATGTCCCTCTCTTTAAAAAAAACAACTTTATTTTATCTGATTACAGATATAAGAATTATTTGAATATCAGAGTCCATAAAAATATAATGTAGATGATCCATGCCCTCAAAATCTCAACTTTCCAAAACTTTAATAATTTAATATACATGCCCCTAACTCCTTTTTGTGTAGATATAACATATATTATTCTATTTAAAAATAAAAACGGGATTATATTATTCACACCATCTACAACTTCATTTTTTTCTACTTACCAATATAACATGGGCATTTTTTCATGTCAATGTCAATACATATATATCTACCTAATTATTTATAACAATGTATCATATAGTTCATTGTAGGGTTTAACCAGTTTTCTATTGAATTTTGAGTAGTTTCCAATGCAACTTTGAATATCCTTGTCCTGACATTTTTAGGTGTTTGAGCCACACCTACAGGTCATACTAACTCTCCTAGGATGTCTTTTAAGTGATGGAGTTATAGGACTTTCCATGTAGCATGCTTTTGGGGAGCCATGTGGGTCTCTTGGTGCAATTTTCTCTCTTAAATATACTAATGACATCCCTCGATGGTGTGGCTCAGTTGGTTGGGCATCATCCATGCACCACTGCCAGTTAGATTCCTGGTCGGGGCACATGCCAGGTTGTGGCTCAGTCCCAGTAGGAGGTATGCAGAAGATAGCTGATCTATGTTACACACTCAAATCAGTGTTTCTCTCTCTCTCCCTCTCCCTTCCTCTCTAAAAATCAATAAACTATTACTTTTTTGTTTTTATTGATTTTAGAGAGAGTAAAGGAGATGGAGAAAGAGAAAGAAACATCGATGAGAGAGAAAATCGTCCATTGGCTGCCTCCTGCACACCCCCTACTGAGGATTGAGCCCGAAATTTGGGAGTGGGCCCCGATCAGGAATTGAATCTGCAACCTCTTGGGGCATGGAAAGACCCTCCAACCGAGTCACACCAGCCACGGCAATAAACCATTCTTTAAAAAAAAAAAAAAACTCTGGAAAATGGAAAGCAAATAGTATCAGGTTGAAAGACAAAAGCAGAACCTAAAATACTCCAGAGTAAACTGACACAAAAGGCAAGAGTGACTTGAAGGTTCTCCCACCTCAGGGGAAGTGGATGTGGGGGAACAGGAATGCTACCCGGGCAGGGCCACCCATAAGGTCGCCAGCCCGGCTTCTGCCTCCAGGGAAGAGCGGTGAGTGTGGGGTTAGGCCCTGAGACGGGGCGGCTGAGGCCGTGGCAGCAACGTGGTTGGCCCCCGCCCCAGAAGGCGAGATGCTAATATACCNAAGAAATAAAAAATAAAAATGTACAAATGACAGCCCTGGCTGGGTAGCTCAGTTGGTTAGAGAGTCGTCCCAATGAGCCAAGGTTGTGGGTTTGATCCCCTGGTCAGGGCACATACAAGAATCAACCAGTGGCCCTAACTGGTTTGCTCAGTGGTTAGAGCATTAGCCCTCAGACTGAAGGGTCTGGGGTTCCATTCTGGCCAAGGGCACGTACCTCAGTCGCAAGGCTCAATTCCTGGCCCTGGTCGGCAGGAGGTAACCAATCGATGTGTCTCTCTCACATGTTTCTCTCTCTCTCTCCCTTCCACTCTCTCTGAAAAGCAAAGGAAAAATATCCTCAGGTGAGGGTTAAAAAAAAGAATCAACCAATGAACACAGAGATAGGTGGAACGGCAAACTGATGTTTCTCTCTCTTGCAAATCAATCAGCTCAAAAATGCATATGTGTGTGTGTATATATATATATAATATGAATGATTGAATAAAAAATTTATTCAATGGAACAATTCTTATTTTTAAAACAAAATTCTGATATCTTAAAAAAATCCTTTTTATCACTTAGTATATGAAATATCATAATTTATCCCACACTTCTTAAGTGTCTGCTCTTTGCCATACACTGCCTAAGGCATTTGGGGACACTGGTGAACAAGACCAGGTCCTTGCTTGCCTAGACTTTATAGTCTTAATCACTTTTACTTTTTTTAGATTGTACTATCTTGATCTACCATAGAAAATATAAAATTCACCCCATATTGAATTTTTGCTGGCTATGAATTGAAGAGATGCTTGGAAACTTAAAGAGTTTTTATGATATTCTCTCAGGCCTCAAATAGCTCCAAGATATACCACCTTGCTTCTTAAATTGGGTATTTTGGTGTTACCTTCATATCTTGGTTAAGAGATGAAGCTTCCTGATTTCAAAACCTACTACAAAGTTACAGTAATCAAAATATTGTGGTACTGGCATAAGGATAAACATACCAATGGAACAGAATTGAGAGTCTAGAAATAAACCTATATATCTATGGTCAATTGATTTTTATTTTTTTATTTTTGTTAATCTTCACCTAAGGATATTTTTTTCCATTGATTTTTAGAGAGAGTGGAAGGGGGGTGGGGAGAGAGAAACATCAATGTGAGAGAGACACATCAATTGCTTGCCTCCCACATGTGCTCTAACCTGGGACAGGGATGGAACCTGCAGCCCAGCTACGTACCCTTGACCAGGGATGGAACCTGTGACCCTTTAGTGCGTGGGCTGACGCTCTAACACTGAGTCACACAGGCCAGGGCTATGGTCAATTGATCTTTCGTTGGAGAAAGAATAGTCTCTTCAACAAATGGTGCTGCTACAACTGGATATCCACATACAAAAGAATGAAGTCTGACCCTTACCTCACATTACAATGGATCAAAGCCCTAAGTATCAGAGTTAAAACTATAAAACTCTTAGAAACATGCAGGTGTTTGTCACAACCTTGACTTTGGCAATGGTTTTTGAGCTATAAGACCAAAAGCACAAGCAACAACAACAAAAATAAATTGGACTGCATCAAAATTAAAAACTTTTGTGCATCAAATGACATCAAGACAGTGAAAAGCTCCCCCAAAACTGAGAAAAATGTTTGCAATCACATATCTGAAAAGGGTCTAGTACCCAGAATTTATAGAACTTACAGTTCAACAACCCAATGAAGAAATGAACAAAGGACTTGAATAGATATTTCACTAAAGAAGATATACAAATGGTCAATAAGTCTATGACAAGATGCTCAGTCACTAGAAAAACAGAGGTCAAAACTACAGTAAGATACCACTCCACATTATTACAGGTTGGCTATAATAATGATTTTTAAAAAATCATTTATAAGAAAAAAATAAGTATTGGCAAGGCTATGGAGAAACTGGAACCCTGATGCATTGCTAGTGGGAATGTAAAATGGTGCAGCCACTGTGGAAAATAGTTTAACTTCTCTTTGGTAAGATAAACATAGCATTACCATTTGACCCAGCAATTCCATTTCCAGGTATATACTCCAAAGAATTGTAAACAGGTGTCCAAACAAAAACTTGTGCATGGCCCTGGCTGGTTTGGCTCAGTGGTTAGAGCATTGGCCCGCAGCCAGAAGGAAGGGTCCTGGGTTCGATTTCAGCCAAGGGCACATACCTCGGTTGCAGGCACTATCCCCCAGCCCTGGTCCAGGCGCGTGCGGGAGGCAACCAATTGACATGTCTCTCTCAGATCGATGTTTTTTTCTCTCTCTCTCTCCCCCTTCCACTCTCTCTGAAAAGCAATAACGTCTAAACTTTAATGTAAAAAAACAAACTTGTACATGAATAGCAGCACTATTCACAAAAGCCAAAGGGTGGAAACAACCCAAATATCTATCAATGAGTGAATGGATAAACACAATGTGGTATATTCACACAATGGAATGAAATACAAGGAATCCATAACAAGGAATGAAATACTAACACATACTACAACATGGACAAACATTGAAAACATGCTAAGTGAAAGAAGCCAGACACAAAAGGCCACACATTAAAATATCCAGAATAGGCAAATGTATAGAGACAGAAAGCAAATTAGTGGTTGCTTACAGATGGGGAAATGGGGGAGGGGAGAGTTGGAAGGAGTGCAATATCTAAAGGGTACAGAGTTTCTTTTTGAGGTGATGAAAATGTTCTGAAAAATTGACTTTGGTGATGGTTGCACCTATCTGTGACCATACTAAGAAACAATTAATTGTGCACTTTAAATGAGTGACTTGTATGGTTATGG